CCGGTGTCCGGGAACCGGGCTAAGGCTGGGGAGGCGATCGCCAAGGGGGGGAGCTGCGGGAGGAGATCACCCTCCTCCCAACGGTTGTTTTAGCTGAAATGTATCAAACTGTAAAAAACCCCCAACTTTTACTCGCTGATTTGTGAACATCGAGGGATACGCTTTAAAAAGCCGTGCTTTGCTGGAGGGAAAGCCTGGGCTTGCTTGGCTGGCATTGTTCTTAAGGGTGGCGATTTGAGGGTAACGGATTTACTTGATGCTTCCTTAGCACCTTTTCTTTGCCTGCAGTGAAGGAGGACCACAGTCCAGGAGTTACAGTCATATTGTTAGGTATCCTAGCAGTCTATTTTCATAAAAAATAGTTAATGTTACTCCGCTTAGTGTAATTCTGCTTACTTGTGTGTGCGTTTCAACGATATCGCTTGTAGATCTAACCAAGACGCGCTCATCCAGCGCAGCCATTGCGCAGTCTTGTTTAATTGTTGTTATTGTTTTGCATTCGTTTACCGTTTCAGCCAGCGGGGGGGGAACACACTCAAATTTCGGGTGCGTTTTTTCCGTGCTAGGTGTGTCTTTGCGCTTCCAGGTGTGTGCGGTTTTGCTTAAATTCATCCCACTGTCGTGTGACATTGCTGTAAATGTGCCGAGAGGGGAAACAAAGGCATTAAAGAGCAGCACAAGTGTTTGTTGATCACCTGTTTGACTTGCTCTGCTATTGCGCTGAGCTAGATGCATGCCCGGTGTGCATTCTTCTAAATGGCATATGTAAATTTTAGGCAAGTACTAAGCAATTGAAGCTGAGGGTGATGGGGAGGGGAGAAAAAAAAAATACTGTAAACTGACCTGCAACTTTTCAGTCGCATAACTTAACTGCACGCTGATTTTTGTTTTAGCAGTTATCGTCACGGATCGAGGCAAGTTTGTGTGCACAATTAGGCTTGCAGATTGCTAATCTCGCACTGACTTTGCCTCTCAGTTGCCAGCTGGGCATGGTTACCTTGAGAGCTGTGGTATCAGCACTGTCAGAGCATGCTCCGGTGGGGAGATCGGGTGTGTTCTATTTTTAATACTATTTAATGAAGATGCTTCTCACTCTGCAATATACGAAGCATAATGGAAGAGCAGAGCGATGATTGGTTATGGATACTGGAAAAGGAAAAATGCAAAGGTAAAAACGGAAATCCCTCAAATATTTCTATTAGATTAATGAAGGAAAATGCAGCTGTGCAGAAAGGTGATCAATTAGCTGGTTTTAAGTCGAACTGTTTTGTGGTGTCTAAAATGATTTTTTAAAAAAACTTATTTTAAAAAGTTGTATGAAACAAACTGTAGATAGAAAATGATTTTGTGCTGTTGATAAACCTGATTGTATTTGGGAATGCTTAAGTTGAAGAAGACTATTCTATTTTAATTCTCTTTTTTTAATGTTGAAACATCTTATGGAGTAGCGCTAAGGAACATTTTAAAGATACTTATTTTTTTTCATGTGCTAACCGTTTTTAATGATTAACTATTTACGTTCTTATTGGTAGCCTCCTGAAGCAGGAGTCTTGAGTTTTTATTCCTTGCAGTTAAAAGTTAATTCAGTTGATATTAAAAATCATTGTTGCATGTAATGCTTGCAGAACGCAAGCAGCTGTAAACCTCTTGCAATATATATGTAAAGGAAAACACCTATAGATAACTACAGTGTATGCCGTTATGCAAGATGCGTGTAGAT